CCGCGTGCCTGCTCGCTTGTCCCTCCGTCGGCCGTGACGGGTGTGTGTGAGTGACTACAGACAAATGCATGAGAGAGTTAGATGCCTTGAAACAGCCTGATGAACAACTCTCCCTACATGTTTTAAAAATGCTAATATGCTATGCTAAATAATGATTTCTCTATTGAACTACAAAGTCCAACTGGGGGAGGACACACTATGGAGGGGGGGCGGAGTTTACAGCTCTTCCAGTTTAAAGAGACAGTACCCAAAAACGGCTCGTTCTCAAGACTCTCCTCAGAACAGGGGTAGATGAGGGTCTGTAGAGCAACAATAATGAGGAAATCAGACCAAAGAACTGCAGTTCCACTGTATTTAGACCCCAACTGAAGGATTTAGATGTAAAAAGGAATAACTTAAAAGCATGTTATGTCTCCTTTATGTGACAGAGTGACGTAGATCTGTCAGGATTTTCTAATCCTAGAGTTTCACCGTCTGTTTTCTATCATAAGCTAATGCAATTTTTTAACTGATAGGGCATTTATTCACTTGTGCCCTTGTAAACTTAGCTCATGAGGATTTGCTCACATATGGTTCCATGCCCTGGAGGAAGAGGATGGAACTGCAGTTTCAGCTACTCCACCTTGGCTTCATTAAATTCAGACCAAAATGTCCCTTTGGCGGAGATCCGTGTATTCTCCCTTGTCGGGATTTGCTTGTGGACGTAGTGAATAAACTGGATTTTAAGTTTAGCTTCGTCACGCCCGCTACAACAAAACTCTGACATTACATGTGTGATTTGTGTTTACATCCTCGTTTTTACTTGCTCAATAGCTAGAAGACCACAGGTGAAGGACAACATTGTTGCCTGCCACCTTTTTGTTCCACATCAAGGAAGGATTTTTAAAGATGCTGATGATTTGGGGGACTGCTGCCACCTAGAGGCTTGGTATGCCAATGAATGTGCTTCACTAGATAATTTTTCTGAAAATTATAGGTGATGTGGACCCTAGTGTTTTTTTTCCAGATGGGTGGGGGAGGACATTCGGCTTGAAGAAACCCAGCTGTGTGTGTACAAGGCCCTAATCTGAGCCCGGTTGCCACAATGAGAGGAACCTATGAAATACGTAAAAGCAGGTGCTTTTCATGTTGCTGCTGACTGGAGTCTATGTTGCATGAGGGGTGGTGTGCATTCAACTGTGGCTCAACTTGGATGAAGTCATCCTTTAATATTGCTGTGAAGCACTGCTGAAACATGATAGATTGGTAGATCAGTCATCAGTGACATTTGTAGGCAGCTGTGAATTCTCGTTGCATTGTGACCTAATCATTGCAAATGGTGCTCGCTGCAGAACCACAAAGGCAGAGCTGCACCAGAAGGTGGAGCTGCACCAGAGTCAGCCCCGCCCATTCCAGAATCAGCCCCGCCCATTCCATAAGAGTCAGTCCAATTCCTTCTAGTTGTCAGACTTGATAGCATTCTGGAACCAAAGAGGGTGTTATAGCTAAAAAATTGAGGACGGAGTTGAGAAGTTAATTGAACAGTTTTTGTAAAGGTTCCATATAATTAAAAATCAAACTTTTGGAACTTTTAATCATGTTATATTGTCATTTCCTCATAAGAAACACGCCAAAGCCATTTTTGGCCTCATTCATGCATTTTCTTCCCATCTCAGCTTCAATTTGGTCTCCTCCCCCGAAGAGGGTCTGGTCTTGGTTCTCAAATCTGGATATTCTGTGAATTTTCTGACAAATTATTTCTTAAATGACTTCTTCTGAGACACCGCCGGAAAAATCATACATACCATCTACAAAGACACACTGGATAGGACAATCAAATGTAACGCCACTAGACTTTTTTAAGATGTGGTGGTGTAGTGGTTATAGAGTAGCCTAGTGAACTAGACCAAATTCTTGCTTTGCAAAGAATGGTCTAGGCATGCTCCATTGGAACCTCAGCAGCTCCTACCAGGACTCTGGCTAGCCAATCACAGCTCTCTAGAGGGGTTTCAAACACATAAAGACCTGTGATTGGTCCATAATGGTGGGCCAATCATAGTGCTCTATCTGCTTAGTGAACAAATCACAGAGCTTTATCCGCTTTGTGGGCCAATCAGGGCACTCTATACGCCTGGTGGGTGGGATGATGCAACAGAGTGAAACAAGAGTATGTCACATTCATTGTCCAGTGGAATGCGGCGATCATTTGAAAGACAACGGTAGAACCCGCCCCACAACCGAGAGCCGTCAATGGAGCATGGCCAGACTAAATAATACATTTATTTAGTCTGGCTTGCCAGGCTAGTTATAGAGTCAAGTTGACATGCAGTTTTGCGCAGGTTCGCCTCCCACTAGCAGAAATATTAGGTAGCTTACAACCCCTTTTCCTCATTTCTAGCTACACTTGCCAGTACTATGTTTACAACAATTTACTGGTATACCGTTTAACATATAATGACTAATGTGTTTATTTATTTATTTGTTTATTTAGCCAGTGTGAGTCCATTTGTGAGCAGAGTTTCAACTAAAATACTGTTTAGGAACGACCAAATTCAAAGAACTTTTAGAGACATAAATATTTTGCTGAAAATAAACATTACAACTAAAATATAAACAAATTAAAATGTTTCAGCTGGCTAAATGGATTGTTGCCGACCTCACCGAGAATCGAACCAGCACCAGCTGAGGGGAAAGCAAAACTTAAGTTAAACAATTTTGCCACTGGACTACCAGAGCACATACGTAAATGACAGATGCTGTTGTACAGCACTTTTCTTGGAGCGGCTGTGGGTAGATATTTGTTAAAAGAAACCTTTTCATTTCGAGATATATTCAGGCTTTGTCATGTAGCAAGTTATATTTATCTTGTTTAATTGAAGCATAGAACATAGCATTAACGACTGTAAACTAGTAACAGCCGTAATTCATGTGGGTCAGGTTAGTTTGCGATAAAGTTGGAAAAACAAAAACGGAAGTCAGTGGGCTAGACTGAGTTTGCGTGAATGGGCGGGGCTGACTCTGGTGCAGCTCCACCTTATGGTGCAGCTCCGCCTTTGTAGGTCTGCAGCGAGCACCCTCTCAATCATTGAGCTAATGACAAAGGTGACAGCTGTCCAGGTAACACTGAGAATCATTTTGCTCGATTCCTAAATCATACCTGCCTGCTCCGTGTCCTCTCCTACACGGATACATGTTCACAACCATGCACAAACTAAAACCCTGGATTGCTGCTCAGCTTTATAAGCTGATATGAGTAAGGTCTGCGAGCTTGCCGGTGGCCGTAGATGTGTGTGTTGATGCTGTGTGTGTCTGTGTGAGTGAGTGTGTGTGTGCGTGGCTCTGTCGAGGCGCTCTAATGCTGTGTGACTGGGGCCAGTGCTGTCAGCAGAGCAGAGACATGGACGCAGCACAAGTGCCTCCTTGCATGAACGTTTGGGCGGGCAGGGATGCTCATCCTACTTTCTCACCATCTGACATTTAAAGGTCCAATCTGCCGTTCTGGAAGCTCGTTGGTTATGGGTTCACCCGCAACCAGCCAAGTCTAACAGCACCACGGGGCTGGCTGTGCAGCACCAAGGGGACAAAAGTGCTAAATGTTTAGGGACGGAAGCTGGAAGAGGCTGAAGAAAGAAAAACTGAAAATGATTATTTTACTTTAAGTGTGTTTTCCTAACCATCATATCTGTTTTTGTGGTGTGGAGGAAACAAACCGTCAGAGGAATCAAAGCAGGGGTGACACATGTGAATAACGAGGAACTGTTTTTCAATCTTTAAGCTTGTTGCTGTGAATGTGCACATGTACATGAGTATGAACACATGAGTCTTCAGATCCGGGTCAGGCTGTGGTGGGTTAAACTGCTACAATAAAATCTACCAGCCAATCATCTCAACAATGTTGAGATGTTCTCCTCAATCACAAAGTGGTTAGAGCCTGGTGCTACAAAAGGAAGTTTCCACATGAGAGAGCAATAGAGGTGGGCCTCTCAGAGTGAGTGTGTTGGATAGTTGCAGCTGTACACAGGTTGGAATATTGAGCAGCATGATGAAGCAGCTGGTACAGTTGCTTCACTGTGAGGAGGTTGCAGGTTTGAATCCGAACTGCATGTTCCCCCCGTGCATACATGGGTTTTGTCCGGGTGCATGTTAGTGTAACTGGTGACTACGCTATCCCTGGGTGTGAGACGGGATCCCAATCCCTGTCTGTCCCTGTTTGTATGATGGTCTGGAGATCTGTCCAGGGTTTCTTCCACCCTGACTGCTGGAATTAGATACCAGCTCCCCATGACCCTTGGGATCTTTATGACCCTATAATATTTATGCTATTGTAAAATGACTATAGGAAGAAAATAACTGAATGCACCCTTCAGCTTTGATAGGGAGAAGCAAACATGGTGACTGGATCAATTTTTGACCTGAAGTTTGTGTTTTCACCATGAAAAGTTTCTGTCTAATCATTAACCCTTAAAACCCCTGGAGCTGTTGACAAACCGAGCCTTTGCTGTGTGTGTGTGTGTGTGCGTGCGTGCGTGCGTGTGTGTGTGCACGTGTGCGTGTGCGTGTGTGTGTGTGTGTGTGTGCGTGCATGTGTGTGTGCGTGTGTGTGCGCACGCGTGTGTGTGTGCGTGCATGTGTGTGTGCGTGTGTGTGTGTGTGTGCGCGCGCGTGCGTGTGTGTGTGCGTGTGTGTGTGTGTGTGTGTGTGTGTGTGTGTGTGTGTGTGTGTGTGTGTGTGTGAGGATGATCTGTTTCCCCTCACTCACATTGGGTGCTGAGAACAGTGACAAATATGACCCCTGACATATGCAAATGTCTACTGAATCACACATGCAGGAAGGATTGTGTGTGTGTGTGTGTGTGTGTGTGTGTGTGTGTGTGTGTGTGTGTGTGTGTGTGTGTGTGTGTGTGTGTGTGTGTGTGTGTGTGTGTGTGTGTGTGTGTGTGTGTGTGTGTGTGTGTGTGTGTGGCCTTAAGGGAGCTTGTGTTTGTGTGTGTGAGCGAGAGACAGAAAAGGGACAAGCTTACTTGGATCAGACTTGGAGAACGTGTCTCTATCCAGCAAGTTTCTGAAAACCAAGAGAACAAAGAGACACATGATCAGAGGAATTCATTACACAGATCTCCTGCCACAACAAGAGGTTTTACATCATTAAAACTCCCCTAATTAGCCTTCTTCCTGACCCTGACAACTGTTTTACCCATAATCCTCTTCTGAATTCATTAACAAAAACCAATTCTTCCAATCATCCAGACAGCAGCAGTAAACAGACTCCACCATGGAGCCTAAAGTGGAGCTTATGTATATTTTATTCATTCAGCAACAACACCACAACTTAGGACCTATTTTTCACTATTTCTGGTCTTTCACAGCACCAGAAGCAACAGCAGAGGCTGCCATCAAATTTTCATGACATTCCAGTTTTTCCTCTGTGCACGGGGAGGGACAGATGCCCTACAAAACCGAGCCACTCCATGATGGAAAGTTTCTGAAAGAATGACAATATGTACAAAATGATGAAGTTCAGATCACCCCTCTCTCTTTATTCTGCTCTCCCCACCTATTCCACCTTCCTCAGGATCCACTGATTTCCCTCTTTCCTATTCACTCTCTCTCTTTCTTAACATTTTTTCTTTTAAATCGCAATTGCTTATTCGTGCTCATTTTAAATATATTTTTAAACATTTTCGAAATGCTTTTTTATATTTTTACAATTTTTACATTTTTTGTTTTTGTTTTAGTGAAGCGCCTCGTGATTTTTATCTTGAGAGGCGCTATAGAAATGATATTTTCTTCTTCTTCTTCTTCAGAGATCTGAAAAATGGGATTGTAGAGAAGCTCAGCTCATGAGACAGGGACCCGTGTGGCTGCGGTGGGTTTTAACCTGCCTCCCAGGCTGAAAAATAAAACGCCTGATTGCCAATCTTAAATTTTGCACTCTGGTGTTCCCTCAGCGAACTATTGAGGAAAAGTCTGAAAGCTGATCTCTGAGCAATGCAATGGGATGTAAACATCCATCTATTGTTGTCCGCTACAGGAGCAGAAGCCTAAGCAGGGAGGCGAGAGACATAATCCCTCCAACATGTCCTCAGTCTTTTTATTTTTTTGGTGTGTTGTTACTGTGTCTAGTTTCTATTTCCATTGTTGGTTCTTTTTAAAACACAGGAAAGGTTTCTCTTTACCATGCTAACGTTTCGTTTGGCAACTGCAACACATCCTCAGAGCGCAGATTACTTTCATGCCTTTTCTCTGCCAACAGTTTCCATTCAAGATGCACATATTAGACTAGAAACTAGTCCATCCATCTTACAGTTTTACACAGAAACACACACTGGCATTGATATCCCTTAAGTCTTAATGAAAAACTGAGACAGGTTGTTTCTACCTGGACCATTTTGGACTTAACACAATCATCTTGATCAGAATTGTACAAATTCAATGGCCGCATCCTTCCACGGCCGCATTACATCACAGTGATGTGACAGGGGAGTAAAAGTGTGAAGGCTTATCCAAAAACAGCCCTCTTTTCTCTGAATTTGAAGACTGGTGTATCCTTCATGGCCCGCCCTGTTCCAAGACTCATTGCAGGCTGAATAGAAGATTGTTCTTCTCATATTAAAGTGGACCAAACTGGAGAGGATCACAGCTCTCAAAGTAAGCATATGAAAAGCTGGCACAAAAATGTAAATCTTAAAGTGGTGGTGGTGGGGGGGGGGGGGGGGGGGGGGTCATTGATGTTGTCCTGCAGGATGATGTGGGTGATGGGGCAGAGGGTCTGAGTATGGAGTGTCCAGATGTCCCCTGGAGGTGGGTTTACTGGTTGTCTGGGGCTGGGGGGCTGCTGCCCCACTCTGGAGGTGCTTGATTTGCCTCAAGGGGTGGACTACTGGCAGTTGTGAGTGGGGATGTATGTATGTGTGTGTGTGTGTGTGTGTGTGTGTGTGTGTGTGTGTGTGTGTGTGTGTGTGTGTGTGTGTGTGTGTGTGTGTGTGTGTGTGTGTGTGTGTGTGTGTGTGTGTGTGTGTATTACGATCCAGGCTGTCTAGGGGGCCTGGGGTAACAATTGACGCATGTTCTCGTGTTAAAAGTAAACAACATTTACATAAATATACCACAAAACACAGATTATCAAAACACAGACACATCATCAGCAACTCAAAACTAGTAACAACTAAACTCTCTCATTAACCAAATTAATACTAAAACTTCAAAAGTAAGTAAGTAAGTAAGTAAAAGTTTATTTATATAGCGCCTTTCACAGATATAAATCACAAAGCGCTGTACAACATGATAAAGATCAGGGCAAATACCTCTAACCAATAAAAACATCAGAAAAAAAATAGCAGTGATAAAGTAGAAAATAAAATCATCAGTATAAACAAAGTGAAGGTGTGAACCCGAACAAAGCCATCTTTTTGAAACATTTAGGGAGGGAACGCCTGGATGAAAAGGTGAGTTTTTAGACGATTTTTAAAGACCTCTACAGTGTTAGAAAGACGGAGATTTGAAGGTAGACTGTTCCAAAGTCTGGGTGCAATAGTCTGAAAGGCCCTGTCCCCTTTGATTTTCAGTCTGGTTCGAGGAACAGCCAGGAGGTTTTCAGATGTGGATCTAAGGTTCCGAGAGGTGGTGTGTGGGGATAAAAGCTCAGATAGGTAGCTTGGAGCCTGGTTGTTAAGACCTTCACAAAACTTCCTTAACTGAGTGATGTCTTACTTAAAGCAAAGGGGAAAGTTTCCTTCACACCTGAAAAGGGTTAAAGTTAAACAATGTTTTCCTAAGCACCCAACAAAGTTGTTACATAAAACTTAACTTAACAAAACCAAATGCTGCTGAGGAGACACCAGACCAGAGAGAACCTCTCTGTTCGGCTGCTCCCTGAACTGAGGGATGGCTGTTTTTTATGCCGCTGGCAGAGTTGATCATCAGGAACAGCTGGGAGAGTCTAACTGGGAGGCAATCTAGTGAGATAGGAGCCAGGTGCTGCATCTCCTCTCTTACACACATAGGGAAAAACCCAAATGGCCCTGAGCCATAACACTTCCCCTCTAAAAATAATGAAAGTTCACACACTTTAATTACACTACATCACATATCCCCCCTTTTTCTTTTACTCAAGACATGCGGTGCCATTCGAAGCAACCCCTACTTCTGAAATTCCCTCAGTGGAACAACATGCAGCGGGAAGGTGACAATCAGTGCTGGGTTGATGATGCAGACTCTCCCGTGCCCAAAAGTCCCACATCCACTGATCACGCAGGGTCCAGCCGAACTCTCTCTTCGATGGTGATCCACTGTCTGCTCACTCCGTTCTCCCAGACAGGATTCCATCAGAGTCTTAAACACAAAGAATTAGTCCACAGTGAGAAGATAACAGATTCTGTCCTCCTTTTCCCAGAGTCGTTAGGCAGGCTTCCACAGCAGGAGCGTTCCATATTTGAAAAACTGAGAAGGGAGGGGGACCAACAGAGCAACCACCTGGCCGCTGGAGTAGCGCCCCAGTCAGATGTCCCATACCAAGTGGGTTCCTCTCACCCACTGAAGATCAATCCCTCTCATGATCCATCGTTTATATCCGTCTTCCGGGGCACAACTGAAGTGTCACCTTCTCGCTCCCTCACCATGCACCATCAAGGTTTCAGAATGAAGTGGCTGTGAACTATTCCAAAAGTAAAACGTAAGTAATAATAATAAACCAGAGAACATGGGTCCAAGTAAGGTTGTGGGATCAAAAGATCCCGGACGAGCCCCCATCTATGTTACAAACCCTTAGATGTAAGTCAGTTGTGGTGGAGGGGTAACATAATAACTGATGTGACAAAGGGAGTGAGTTTAAATAAAAAAGTATTTTATTAACAAAGAGTAAACTCAAAATACTCAGTCCTTGACCGGAATAATAATTAAACTAAATTTACTCTATGCATAACTAAACGAAAGGCGACAGGGCAGAAATCAAAACACCTGAGGCCGACCCCATGTGGGGATCTGGGTGGGTGTTTGGGGATTGGGTCCTGACATGTATGCTGCCGGGAAGAAAGTAGGAAGATGCGGCAGTGCATGGCCCAGGCTCACGGGCCTCAGGTGGACCTTGGCTCCTCTAAATAATAACAACTTGTGAGGGATCAAGTCAAATGAGTGGAGGAACACAGGAAATCTCCAAAAATAGAGGCTCTTTAATTTATTTTTCTTTTAAAACATCCTCACAAAAATGGCTCGAGCTCATAAAAGAGGTCAAACAAACAAACTGAAACTCAATAAACTGCTAACTTAACATGCTGACTGACTGAAACCATAACCGACCTAAGAAACAAAGACACACAAGGGTATATATACACATGGGCTGATCAGACCATATGAACAATAGGGATTACTAGACAAACATTTACTAACTAGTACTAAAACCACAAATCAGTACAGTCAGATTGTTAATAAACCTAAACACCCTAACTCATAAACCTAACTAACTTCAAACTTAATTATTTTGTCATTTGTTAATTAATTTAACTAGATAGTGCTCAATCAGGGGACTCCATTGTCCTGCTGGGGGACTTCAATGCTCACGTGGGCAATGACAGCTTGACCTGGAAGGGTGTGATTGGGAGAACGGCCTGCCTGATCTGAACTCGAGTGGAGTTTCGTTATTGGACTTCTGTGCAAGCCGCAGTTTGGCTATAACGAACACCATGTTCGAACATAAGGATGCCCATCGGTACACTTGGTACCAGGGCAGCCTAGGTCGCAGGTCGATGATAGACTTTGTAGTCATATCATCTGACCTGCAGCCGTATGTTTTGGACACCCGAGTGAAGAGAGGAGCGGAGCTGTCAACTGATCACCACCTGGTGGTGAGTTGGATCAGATGGCAGGGGAAGATGCCATGTAGACCTGGCAGACCCAAACGCATATGGAGGGTCTGCTGGGAACGCCTGGCAGAAGAACCTGTTAAGACGGTCTTCAACTCTCACCTCCGGCAGAGCTTTGACCGAGTCCCGAGAGCAGTGGGGGACATTGACTCCGAGTGGGCCTTGTTCCACTCTGCGATTGTTGAGGCGGCTGTTGCTAGCTGTG